GCAGGTCTTGAAGGAAACCCTTGGACTACTGCCAGCTGACCGTAAAGGTACAAGGTGTGATCAGAGAAATACAAAAAGCAACTGACAGTTCCTAGAATATACCCTCAGCACAATTACTCAGCCAGTCTGATAAATCGAGTGAAGTTCTCTTTTTACCAAAGTGATATTTGCGCAATAGTATTGTTTGGAGAAGTGGAAGAATTCAGCTCCACCGTTGCAGCCGAATTCGGTACTCCTCGTGAAATTCGCATCGTCATACATTATTGACGACGAAACAATCAACGTCTTTAATAAAGAGTTTTTGAAATGTTACACCTCTCAAGTGATGACTCAAACAGACGCAGTACGCAACGAGGGAGAGCCATATAAGCTCTCCAACATTAGCTGCAATGTCAACAAGCTGCCGTTGCCATCAGAAAAAAGGAGCGGGGATTCACACGAAGACCATGCGAAGGAAAATAACGAAGCTAAATTTCCACAGGGAGATCAACCAAGCATGGGCAATAACAATCCACGTGGCCAGATTTCGAAAGCCTTTGAAGAAGATAACACTACGGGTCTGGCACCACTCCTCAAGATGATTAAACAGCATGAGATGAGCTTTCCAGACTGCACCCTATGTATGAATCAGCACCAAAATCCTGTTTACAGATTTCTATGTGGTCATAACTTTTGAAACTACTGTATCAGCTGTGTTATAAAGAAGATAGGTTTTTGTCCACAGTGTTCACAGGAGAAACTGATTCCAGGAAACCAAACTCCTGGATACATGACTTGGAGAACTGAGTCACTTAAATCGTTACCAGGCTACGAAGGGTGTGAAACCATTGTCATAACCTTTAACTTCCGAGGAGGAATTCAAGGTAACGTTGATTTAGAAACTTTTTGAGGGTTGGTTTGTTGCTAAATATAATGATCTATATCTCTACATACTTACATATGCATACATTATGCGCCGAACGCGAAGTTTGAATTGTTGAATCATTCCCGCTAAGAAGTAGTTAACCGAATTAATTACAAATGCCATATATTACAGTTTTTAACTCCATTTTACTTTAATTCGCAATTTCAGCGTAATTCCTATTTGTCATTATCACTAGCTAGTTGTAGTTAACAGGTGAAGAGTCGCGTGAAATGAATACACACTTAATAAACTATTATTTTCATTAAAGGGGTAAGTTTCTAAAGAAACTGCGGTGCTGCGTCGGTGGGAGAGTATAACAAGGTTATCGAGTGTTAGCAACTGAGTTGATAACGTAAATTGGCCACCGTAAAGAGTTAAAAGGCTGACGTTTCGAGCGTTAGCCCTTCATCAGAGCAATTGGAGGAACTGTGGGTTGTGTGTGGGTTTATATGCAGGGAGATGATTAATTTATTAATCAGGATGATGATTTATCAGGGAGAAGATGAATCGATTAAATGAGATTGATTAATTTCCCTAATCAGTCTATATTCCATATGGAAGTTTGCGGCCTTTCCCTACATCTAGGCAGATCAGAAAGCCGCAAAACTCTAAAGCAAAAATTTTTCTTTTAAATCGGCACTCTTAATCCCCACGGTATCAACAAGCGCTCTTCATTCAACTAATTTATTCTTGTTTTCTCGTCACCATATTCCCACCAATAGCGTAGCTCCAATTTCTGCATATAAACCCACACACAACCCACAATTCCTCCAGTCGCTCTGACAGCCTTTAAACTCTTTACGGTGGCCAATTTACGTTATTAACTCAGTTGTTAACACTAAATTACCTTGTTGTTGTTATAAGTGTTATTATTATTATTATTATTAGTTGTAGTAGTAGTAATTAGAAATAGTAGCATTTATTATTACTAGTATTAGTGTCAGTATTATTATTACTATCACAATCAGAATTATTTTTATTTTTATTTTATTATTCTCAATATCATCGTTTTTGTGGAATTCTAGGGGGATCGTCTTAATATGGGAACTAAGTTCTTCTTCTGTGGGAGTACTTTTTTCTTCACTAAAAAAAGGTTTTTACATTTTCTTGTTCTAGGTCCAGACCACGCAAATCCAGGAGAGCATTTCAGTGAACTTTTCTGCTCAGCCTACCTTCCAAACAACCTCACCGGAGTAGAGGTGTGTAACCTGTTGAGAAGGGCCTTTCATGAACGTCTGATATTTACTCTTAGAAGAAGTCCTACTACTGGCGAGTATAACAAGATTGTGTTGAACGGCATCGAACTGAAAACAAGTCTAACTGGTGATCCAGCCAAGTAAGTTGGCTTTTCCAACTGTAAAACTTAATGACCTACGCGTACTAAACGTATATTTCTGAAACAAGCTCGTTCTTGGTTTCGGGAACACATAATTCATCTCTCGAAATATCCGCTCTATTGTTTTAATATTTCACGTTCTAGATAGGTAATACATACTGTTACTGCCGAAAGAGACCTTCATATTAATTTTTAGTTTCCCAGTAATTTCGGATGTTAGATCTGAGACATTGGCGATGTCCTCTACCTGCTCTTCTTCCTTACTCTTACTACCAATATGCTTATGATGTATTCCACGTTACAAGAATTTCTAAGCATTTAGTGCCATATCAAACGATATCCTCATATTAATTTTTGTCTTTATTATGACCATATGTCTGTTTGACTGTACGCTGCTATCGTAAGAATTCACTCATGATCTGTCAACCACAAGAATGAAGGGTTAAATTAGCTTATATTTGCTCTCATTTATCGACCCTTTCCTACTTTTTTTTCTTTTCCTATCTCCTTCTAGATACACACCAGCGAGTTTCAAGTTTTCCTCATTCAACGATATCGTGAGAAAACTCACTTTTTTCTGGTAGTTTTTGCGGTTGCGGTTATCCAGATCCCAGGTACCTTGATCGAGTAAAGAAACAACTTGCTGACAAAGGCATTACATCATTAAACTTTTGCTTAGTTCAGAGGAACGTCACATGCTTTCAGTACTACCAAACTTGATTTGAGATATGACTTTAGATTGAAGACAAAGTTGTTGAACATTTTCCCTAGAGGGTGGGACAATAAAAGAAAACTGTCTACCATAAGGATTCGAATTTCTACCATTTCCGGTTTTGCAGCTGGTTTTTTTGCAAGCTTAGCTGAAGAGAAATGAATAAAGGGGGCAAGTTTCTAAAGAAACTGTGGTGCTGTGTCGATGGGAAAGTATAACAGGGTAATTAAGCATTATCAGCCAAGTTGTTAACGTAAATCGACCATTATATGGGATTTCAAAGCTGACGTTTCGAGCGTTAGCACTTCGTCATAGCGAATGACGAAGGGCTAACTCTCGAAACCGTCAGCTTTTAAACCCTTACGGTGGTCAATTTACGTCATCAACTCAGTTGAAAATATTACATTACCATGTTAGCTTAGGAGAACTTGATCGTAAATTACAAGAAAGAAGTTTTTGATAAAAAGTTTCGGCTTTTGTTAACACCATCAAAACTTTTAACAAGTCAGTCAAGGGTAAGATAAAGTATTTCACCTGCCAGGAAGAAAAATGAGAAAAACAAGTGGTTAAATGTGACGTGTGACAGTGAAGAAATGTAAAATGTTTTCCGTGTTTACATAGCCTGATGTAAACACGCGGGAGGTTGGGAGAACGCGAGATAAGCGTAGGAAACCACTCCGCTTCGCGTTCTCCCAACCTCCCAAGTGTTTACATCAGGCTATGTAAACACGGAAAACATTTTACATTTCTTTTATAAAATAACTAATGAAAGAGCCTCTTCTTGCAAAGAAGGAAAGCGACGTGTTTGTTGTTGTTGTTCATTTGGCTTTTCGGCCGTTTCTTGAATACTGGGAAAATTAAACTCCAAAGAAAAATTAGGAAAATCTTCTTCTTCCATTAAAAACTTAAAGAAACTGAGTTACTGCTAAATAAATAGCAGGGAGGACTCCCCGAGAAAGTTCAGTATGAAAACCGTGTTTACATACGCTCATGTAAAATGGTTTTATGGCCAATCAGAGCACGCGTACTATTTGAATTATTTTATAAAAAGACTTATCAAAGTAAAGAGCGAAAGTATGTATTTTTCAGTTCACTTAGCTTCTTCACCAACGGTTTCTTGATTAGTCAGTTGTCAATTTTAATGGACGTACCGTGCTGGCATAGCAAACTTATTTGGCTGTTTTATTTTTAATCACAGTAAACTGCAGTTTAAACCATAAACTGAATTGAAGGTTGAGTTTGTGCTTTGAGTCTGTACACTGCTCAGGGTCACTGTATGAACATGTTATGAGCCACCTTTTGTGAGCTTCTAATTGATTTATATTCGTTCTCTTTCTTGTGGTGTGCTATAGCAAACGGTAGAACTCTGAACTAAAACGAAACACGAAACAACACAATTCAAATTACTAAGTAAAGTTATATTATATAAAAAGGCCTGATCCATTTTTACATAAAAGGAAACGTACAGAACAATCTGTGAAGGTCAACTGCGGCTTAAATCCTACTGCATATAAAATAGAGGTGTCCTATTTGTTTATAATGGATTCTTTCGATTGAAATGACGCCTAATGTCTTGCAAAAAAATATATTTAACATCCCGTGATTTTTGGTCGATCGTAAGGAGTACGCATGGACAGTCCAGTCCCTGAAATATTTTCCCCACATGGTTCCCGAAGGGAAATTGAGCTTGCATAGGCAGTTTCACTTAGAGTGTATTGGTATATCAGAACTGCATTTCACGACGGAGACACATAGTTTGCAGATTTTCCTTTCGGGAAAGATAACTGAATGTATATAACACAATCTTACCGCACCCAAAACACAAGAGGAAGTATAATTTCTGAAAATTCTGAAAAGGATCCCATTAGTGTGAGAGGCTGAAACACAATTGAAAACTATTCTTACCATCTGTAAACTAACTAATTCGTTAATTATAAAACGCCTTCTGGGACCAATCTGCTGCCCATGATCACTCCATGTGTCAAGCTAAGTAGGCCTGAGCACGAATATACATTCCCGTGTCAGACAATACCTTCGTTTTAGAAGCCATGGCTGCTCAGTGTCGAAGTTTCTTCGATGATGTCAAAAAAGAATTAGAATGTTGTGTTTGCCAAGAGCAATTTGACGAGAACAACGAGCCTAGAATACTCAAATGTCTCCATACTTTCTGTAAATCATGTCTGGAACGGTGGTTACGACAACAAGGTGGAAAGCAGTTGAGTTGTCCTACATGCCGTCAAATCACTGAATGTCCCAACAACAACATCAACAGCCTTCCATCAAATCTATTTTACAAGCAAATGGTGGGAATCGTTGAGGCTTACAGCGGAAACAGGCAAAAAGATTCGCCACAGTGTGGAAGCTGCGATGAAAGAAAGCCACTTAAGTTTTACTGCTCGGAGTGTAATTGCTTCCTCTGTGAAGAATGCTCAATGGCTCATAAAAAATTGAAAGTGTTTAGTGGCCACTACGTCAAAGAAATTGGAAATTTTGTATCTAGCGACGCACAAGATTACTTTCGGAAACTGAACGTTTGTAAAGAACACAAAGATCAAGTTAGATTTTACTGCAATCAGTGTGTAACATGCATTTGTCGTGACTGCGCCATCTTGGAACACCGAGATCACAACTTTGTGTCCATTGACAAAGGACTGGACAAGAAGAGATCAGAAATCGAGACAAAAATGGGAAACGTTCTGGAAAATGGCTCTAGACTACGAAAGAAAAAAGAATTCTTAGAAGAACAACGGATGAGAATGAGCAAAAGCATCGAAAAAGCGAAAGACGAAGTGCATCGAGTCGCTAAACGCAACATAGCGTTAATTCGACAACACGAATCAAGCGTGACGGAACAACTCAACAAGCAGAGAGATGTTTTCGAAGCTGAATTTTTAAATGCTGTATTCCGAATGGACAAAAAACTTACTGATATAGGGAGCGGTTTGGAATTTTGCAACAACGTACTTCGACGAAATAATCTGCCGGAGATCTTAAACGTGGAAGAAATACTTGAGCAACGGTTTAAGGAACTTTCTAAGCCTTCTGATGTAAACATGGAGTTAAATTATTTTGAAGTCAAGTATGTTCCAAACGATTTTTCGTCAGTGAAAGAATCACTAGGGAAGCTGTTTAAAACCAAAACGGTACCTTCCTTATCAGAGGCAGAGGGTAAAGGGCTGACCGAAGGCTCTCAAGGTGAAAACTGTACTTTTACAGTGATCACGAAAGACTCACGTGGTAATAGAACGTACAGTGCAATAGATGAGGTCATTGTCGACATTAAATCGCCGAAGTCGGGAGCGGCCTTAAAGGTCAACATAAGAGACTCGCATGACGGCTGTTACGAAGTAACATACAGACCCGAAACTACTGGAGAATTCAACATGTCCATAACTATTGCGGGTGAAGCCATCAGAGGGAGTCCCTTTCGCATAAATAATCTGCCGTGGAAGAAATACTTGAGCAACGGTTTAAGGAACTTTCTAAGCCTTCTGATGTAAACATGGAGTTAAATTATTACGTATTCAAGTATGTTCCAAATGATTTCACGTCCACCAATGAGTCTCCGGGAGAGCTGTTGAAAAGCAAAACTGTACCTTTGTTATCAGAGGCAGAAGGTAAAGGACTGACTGAAGGAACTCAAGGCGAAGATTGTGCTTTCAAAGTAATAACAAAAGACCTACAAGCTAAAAACTCTCACAGTGAAATAGACGAAGTCTTTGTTGACATTAAATCGACCCAGACAGGAACATCCCTAAAGGTCAACATAGCAGACTCAAAAGATGGCTGCTATAAAGTATCATACCAACCTGAGACTGCTGGAGATTTCTTCGTGTCTGTAAATGTTGCTGGTGAAGCGATCAAAAACAGTCCATTCCAGTTGAAAGTAAGAGAACAACCAACCCGCAGAAAAAAACATGGAAAGTCCACAGCATCCACGGGTAACGCTACTTATTATCAATTGATAGAATGTTTATCACCATTCGTCACATTAGTCAAGACTTACACATTGGTGGCAATTGCCTTCCACCCCAGTTGTCCTTAATACTTGGACATTTTTCCTTCTTAAAAGGGCCACATGCGGGCAGCTTTAATAGTCAGATATAGGAGGCTTCTACACTGGTTGTTTTATGTGACAAAATGGTGGCAGTGACAGTGACAGTTTCAATAATGAAGCTCCAAGCTATCATGAAAGGTTTCACATTATTTTCTTAGGCTTCATGTAAACTTTAAATCGAAATTGATGACTAAGCTGAGGTACCTTGAAGTTTAATCGCCTCTATTGAATACATTTTGATCTTCTGATTACCCTTCTTTCTTCATGCCTAATGGAGTTTTATTGTATTCCTGATTGACTAATTAATTGATTTATTTTTAATACCCACATATTTATTTATTTGTTTATTTACCTATTTCTCCAAAGGAGGTGAAGGGGTGATAATCCAACATGCCGATCCAAAGATAAATTTTTCAGGAACCTCTGAAAAAGAAGCCACCATTTATGATTTCGACCGTTTCGAGGTGGAGCCTCTAACCATGAAGCTTCTACATAGGGTTTACGAGAACAGACTTAGAGAGATAGAAGACGCACATGGCGTAGACATTCTTTGGGAGGAAAATGCTCCTCAAGTTCAGATACGCCCGGCCACAACAGTTAGCAAAACTCACCATAAAGGAATCGAGGAGTTCATAAATCTTTACCTGGACTTCTATCCAAAGATGCGTCGAGAGGAAATTGTATTAGAACTTTCCGATAGCAAGGGACTTACCACCGTGGATATTCGCTCTTTGGAAGCCGAAAATAATGTGGTAATTGAGATGAAAGAAAACAAGTTGGTCGTCTATGCGGAGGAATCAAACATTTCTGTTGCAGTGCAAGCCTTGAAGAAAACCCTTGGACTACTGTTAGGTAAACGTAAAGGTGCAAGGCGCGGTCAGAGAAATACAAAGAGCAAGAACAGTTTCCAGAATATACCCTCAGCACAAGTACTCAGCCAAGGCCTGACGAATGGATTGAAGCTCTCCTTGCACCAAAGTGATATCACTGACGAAATGGTGGACGCTATTGTCAATGCAGCCAATGAGTGGCTTCAGCATGGTGGTGGTGTAGCAGCAGCGATAGTACGGAAAGGTGGTCGCATAATACAAGAAGAATCCAATAGAATAATGGCACAGAGAAGAAGACGTCCACTGAGAGTAGGCGACGCTGTTCATACAGGGGCCGGCACCCTTCCTTGCAAATTTGTAATTCACACGGTTGGTCCAAGGTGGGATAGTTTTGACAAAGACAGATGCGTTTCTCTTCTTCGCCTTGCGTGCATTAAAAGTCTCTGTCTTGCAGCACAATTGGAGCTCTGTTCGATTGCATTACCGCCCATTAGCTCTGGTATTTTTGGCATACCAAAGGATATTTGCGCTCAAGTGATGTTTGGAGCAATGGAAGAATTCAGCTCCAGCGTTGATGCCGAATTTAGCACTCTTCGTGAAATTCGCATCGTCATTATTGACGACGGAACAATCACCGTCTTTTATGAAGAGTTTTTGAAACGTTACACCTCTTAAATGACTAAATACCTAATGTGCCAATAAAGCCTCAAATTAACCTTGAAGGTTTTTCTAGGCTGTGTCAGCTTTCATGGTTTTTGTATTAGTATTCATTTTCCCAAAGGATCCAATAAGTTGGCACCTGTTCTAAAACTCATCGTTTTAAAGGTCAATATGTGCGCCTCAGTTATCATTGTAACTGAGGCGCACTGAGTTCCCTTTCCAAAATCATTTAGTAAATTTAAAGACTTATAAACGTAGTGAGCGAAAGTAAATATTATTCAGCATACTCTGGTTTTTCACCGACGGTTTCTTGATTAGTCTGTTACCAATTTTAGTTGACGTACCATGCTGGCCTAGCAAACTTATTTAGACTAGACGCATATTTGCGTTCACTCGGGCTTTCTGTTGGAAAGAAACTTTGTCTTTTTGTGCCAGTATTTGCCCAAGTTTTTTTTTTTATTTTTTTTTAATGCAATTATTAGTATATCCTGTTACTGTTTTCTGTCTTAGTATGCCAGAGATGCAGGTTTCTCACATATGTTTACAGAGACCTGAAAACAGCACTTGTTGTGTAGTGTGAAGACCCTTTTCTTGTGTGGGGTGGGGGAGAGGTAATACCATATATTATTTGCTATAATTTCAATACGTATTACTAAACACTATTTCCATTTTTGTTTTGAGTTTTGAGTTGGTTAAATTTTGTTTTTTGTTTCTTATCGCCAGAGGAAAACAAAAAGTCACAACCGAAGCTTATTAGCAGGGTTGTTGGAGTGGTTCTCATGAACCTGTGAAATATACTTTAGCATATTTTGTACCATTACCCTCTAATTTGTTTGTTTCCATTTGGAGTTATAAGGCTAGTTTACCTTAGTTAATACATTTTGGTTTATTGGTTAGAGGGATTTCATTAAACCTAGTGAACACTAATTAATTGTTAGTGCTTAGAGTGATTTTTATTTTCCGTAAAAGAATAGGGTAACAAATAGTTGGTGGCGTACTCTGAATCTTTTGTTTTCTTTTGTTCTTTATCAACTGCTAAAAACTAAACAGTCATTTTTTTATTTCATGGGCAAATGAAAATCACTCTAAAACATGCAAAGAAACAAAAGTTGACAAAGCATTTAGCATCTAATAACTTTATGTGATTCATCAGCAGTACCCAGGCTTGTTGAAATAATCAAAACCACTCTTTTCCTTTGCCCTTTGATGAAAACTGACTTTTTAGTTTGTTGCAGTCGATAATTAACAAAAAAATCAGAGTGTAAAAATTACAGTAACTGCAAATTTTCACCTGCATTCGAAAATTAACTAAGTGTTTTCATTTTGTATATGGTAAGTGAGGAAAAAGACAACTGCAAGATTACAATAGTTTTAATGTTTTTTCATATGAGAATATATCTACTAATTACAATAATATTTCAAGGGTATTATAGTAGAAATTGTCATTGAACAAGAACATAAAAATGTATTTTTAAGGAATCAGTAGTTTGTAAAAGTTCAATTTATTTTTGTGAATCATATTCATATCTTATAAAAACTAACAACTGTAACAGAAACTTAACACAACAGATGAGTACTCAAAGTACATAATTCATCACTTCACATCATACTTCTGTATCTCCTGTTTATTTTTCAGATTCCTAACTAGTTTTTCTCCAACCATATTTTTTTCTTTGGTGGCTCCATTGCCTTATAGTCTTGTTTATGTCCATAATTTTTCTTCAATTTTTTTCTTTTGCTTCTGGCAACTACTTTACACAAACATGTAGCAAACTGTATTCTGTAATGCCCTGGAGTGTTATATTTCTCTTGCATTTTTCAAAATGGCATCAACAAGTGAAGCTATTCCACTTTTTTAAGTGTGTTGAATAGGGGACATGTCTCTTTCATTATAAAGCAGGAGGGAATACATATATATTTTGATCTTTTTGCAGGTTTAAAGATACAACTGATGCAGTACGAGGAAAACTATATCCAAAACCCTGTGCATTCACTATTATTTATTATTTCATTCTCAAGAATTGACTTGTTTTGAAGTGAATCAGTTAATAGTCCTTCACTCTCAATCAAATAATCTAAATTTACTTCAGTTTCACAAACATCTACAGTTCTTGGAAGATTAGCTAATGATTGCTGGTTGTGTTCCAAAATTGATTTACAGCACATTTTTTGCCATTGTCCACAATGGTGAGCAAGAATGAGCTGTAATTCCAGTAATTAAATAGTTTCATCATTGAGTAACAAAGAGAGTATAGGGCTACAGCCCAACTTAAATTGAAGTTTGTTGTTTCATTCACACTGTTTTCAGAAACCTTCCTATTCTGAATATTCTCAACTTGTACTCCTATCACGTCATATATATCGTTATGTATATTCTGAAAATGATGCACTAACCTATCAAGGGACAGTGCTTCCAGAAGAACACATGTACCTTGAGGCTGCCCTCTACCATATAAATCTCTGGCATGACAATCAAATATTTTGAACCCCATATTACTATTACAATAGCTTGCAACAGCAATACACTTTAATGTTCATAAAAAATTGGTATAGTTTTTTAGATATGAGTGACTCACAAGCTCTTCATAAAGAGGTACACCACTGATATCCCTCTATAGCATTTTCTTGGTGAACAGTGCCAGAGTTTCTTTCACTGTATTCCTGTTGATAATTCTGACAGCATTTAAAATGCCTGCCTGGCTAATCATGACAAACCTGAATAAAACTGATTTCTAATATTCATCATTTGTATAAGATCAATTGCAGAGCTGATCCCCTGTGTGTTATTGTAAATCAAGGAGCAAAATCTCATTGCAACACATTGCTGTCCTGCATTCTGTCCAAAAACTAACTTTTAACCTTGACTTTATGGAGCTCCTATTGTTTTGTTAGGGTCAACATATATTGGAGGACCAGGATTTTTTTCTATGTCTCTACTTCATTTATACTTGCAATAATTTGTTACATGAGCCTCACTCTTGCAAGGACACTTCAGTTTGTTACAAGTAAACAATGTTAAATATCGACTGGCACGATATTTTATCTTTCTCAAACCTTGACGAGTTCTTTCACAACAGCTAAACTTGAAAGTCGTCTTATAAAATAGTTTTTTTAGCATTTACATAACAGAACAATGTATAAGAAATGGGTATACATAAAAAAATACGTGCATAGACCAATGCTCTAACCTTTCTTCTCTTGTTCCTTAAACTTCCCTAACTACGAATTGGTATTTTTCTTGGTTCACGATCACGTCTACATACACGATGAGATTTGCTTTCATGCTTCTCTCGATTAACCTTAGATACCTCCGTTGATGTAGTAAGTTTCTCGATGAAAGTTCTCTCATAAATGTTCACTCATCATGAAGAGATCTCTCATAAGGTTCGCGAACCGACCCATTCCGAAAACGCTCGACATCTTTTCGTGTGGGTCTACCGCGAACACTGTGTGCATATTTTGTATGCGTTTTGAGCGTATTATACACAGTATCTGTGTTGATTTTGCACCGCAAGAGCTCCCTCTTCCGCTATTACAACATGCCACAGCTCATGTGCTAAAAAATTGCGCATGCGTGCTAAGGACTTGACTACGATTTGAGACTAAATTTGTAATGGAACGAAGCCGGAATTCCACTTCGTTTCCCTTGGAAAGCCCGAGTAATACTGTTTTATTTCTAATCAAAGTAAAGTACGCGTGTAGTTTGAGCTATAAACTGAATTAAAGGTTGAGTTTGTGCTGTGAGTCAGTACACTGCTCTGGGTTCCTTATGAACATGTTATAAGCTTCTAACTGATTTGTATTCGTTCTCTTTCTTGTGGTGTGCTATAGCAAATAGAAGAACTCTAAACTATAACGAAACTCGAAACTACACAATTCAAATTACTAGGTAAAGTTATAGTATTAAAAAAGGCCTGATTCTTTTTTTAAGTAAATGGAAACATACAGAACAATCTAGGAAGGTCAACTGCAGCTTAAATCGACTTGCATATCAAATTTAGGCGATTCCATGAAGTTTACTGCCTTCATCGTTTATTGGGATTCGTTCAATCGAAATGACGCCTAATATTTTGCAAAAAGAGTATTTAACATCCCGTACTTTTTTGTCGATCGAAAGGAGTACGCTTGGAAAGTCCAGTCCCTCAAATATTTTTCCCCACGTGGTTCCGAAAGGAAATTGAACATGGGCAGAGTGTCACCAAGAGTATATTGGTATTATAGAACTACATTTCAAGAAGGGCACTCATAGTTTTCAATTTTTTTTCCAGAAAGGCTAACTGAATCCTTATAACACAATCTTGTCGCACTCAAAACACAAGAGGATATATTTTCCGAAAATTCTTAAAAGGATTCCGTTTATGTGAGAAGTTAAAACATAATTGAAAACTTTAATCTTGCCACCTATAAACTAATTAGTTAGACAATTTTAAAAAGCCCTCTAAGATCAATCTGCTTCCAATGATCACTCCACATGTTAAGCCAAGATGGCCTGGGCACGAATATACACTTCCGCGTCGGACTGTATACCTTCGTTCTAGTAGCCATGGCTGCTCAGTGTCGAAGTTTCTTCGATGATGTCAAAAAAGAATTAGAATGTTGTGTTTGCCAAGAGCAATTTGAAGAGAACAACGAGCCCAAAATACTCAAATGTCTCCATACTTTCTGTAAATCATGTCTGGAACGGTGGTTACGACAACAAGGCGGAAGGCAGTTGAGTTGTCCCACATGCCGTCAAATCACCGAATGTCCCAACAACAACATTAACAGCCTTCCATCAAATCTATTTTACAAGCAAATGGTGGGAATTGTTGAAGCTTACCGCGGAAAGGGACGAGAAGACTCGCCACAATGCGGAAACTGCGACCAACGAAGGTCACTGAAGTTTTATTGCTCGGATTGCAATTGCTTCCTCTGTGAAGAATGCTCCATGGCTCATAAAAAATTGAAAGTGCTTAGTGGCCATCACGTCAAAGAAATTGGAAATTTTGTGTCTAGCGACGCACAAGATTACGCTCGGAAACTGAACGTTTGTAAAGAACACAAAGATCAAGTTAGATTTTACTGCGATCAGTGCGTAACATGCATTTGTCGTGACTGCGCCATCTTGGAACACCGAGATCACAACTTCGTGTCCATTGATAAAGGACTGGACAAGAAGAGATCAGAAATCGGGACCAAAATGGGAGACGTTCTGACAAATGGCTCTAGACTACGAAAGGAAAAAGAATTCCTAAAAGCACAAAGGGTGAGAATGAGCAAAAGCATCGATAAAGCGAAAGACGAAGTGCATCGAGTCGCTGAACGCAACATAGCGTTAATTCGACAGCACGAATCAAGCGTCACGGAACAACTCATTAACCAAAAAGATGTTTTTGAAGCTGAATTTTCAAATGCTGTATTCCGAATGGACGAGAGACTGGCGGAAATAGAGAGCGGTTTGGAATTTTGCAACGACATACTTCGACGAAATAATCTACCGGAGATCTTAAACGTGGAAGAAATACTTGAGCAACGGTTTAAGGAACTTTCTAAGCCTTCTGATGTAAACATGAAACCAAATTGCTCCGAAGTCAAGTATGTCTCAAATGATTTGTTCTCCTTGAAAGAATCTCCAGGGAAAGTGATGACAACCAAAACTGTACCTTCCTTATCAGAGGCAGAGGGTACGGGACTCACTGAAGGAACTCAAGGCGAAGATTGTGATTTTACAGTCATCACAAAAGACTCACATGGTAGTAAAACTTACAGCGAAATAGATGAAATCCTTGTTGACATTACATCACTGCAGACTGGAACAGCCCTACAGGTCAACGTAACAGACTCAAACAATGGCTGCTACACAGTATCATTCAAACCTGAAACTGCTGGAGATTTCAACGTGTCTGTGCGCGTTGCAGATGAACCTATCAAAGGAAGTCCGTTCCAGTTAAAAGTGGAAAAAAAAATACGAAAACTGAAAGGTATTCGCTAATAGAGTTGTTGTTCATCGATCGATTGATTTATTAAATGATTGATTAATTCATTATCTCCCCTTTCACTCATTTATCTAATTATTTATTTCTCATTTTACTTATTGACATTATTTTCACTCTGTTATCTTTAGTTAGAATGATAACTGCACACAGATTTGCGTAAATTTGCAACTGCTTCAATTACCCAAACTTCACTAACTCTGATTTCTGAAGTGGCAACATGCATTTGATGATTTATTCAGACTTTAATCTGCCTCTTACAAATTTCAGATCACCAGCCGTTCGGCCTGATCGAGGAGGGAAAAACCTGCCAAGTCTGCTTTTATAATGTAGTTCCACTTTTCCAGTTACAGTGTGGACACTACAAATATTGCAAGGGATGTAAAGAGAAGCTACTCGGCGAATATGATACCTTCTGCTATATTTGCAGACGAAAAGTTTTATTCCTTGGAAATCAACCGACTGGACATATGACCTGTAGGCGAGACTCAGGACCCTCTCTCCCAGGGTACGAAGCCTTTGAAACCATAGTGCTTGGTTTTAACTTCGACAGAGGAATCCAAGGTACGTTAAGTGACTATGAATGATTTTCCTGGTGCTGAAGACAGGATTTAACCTCTGTAGAACACGATAGGCAAACCGCTTAACTCGAGCCAATTTTTCAAAGCTATTCAGCCAAATTTTATTTGCAAAGACAGACTAACAGTATCATGATTCATTATAGCCGTTTAATTTCTACAAAATATTAAGTACACTCATGCCACCGTAAGATTATTGAAAATATTTTGATTACTGGTTATTTCATTATATTTTCATTTAGTTGTTTATATATCTATTAATCTATTCATTGATTTTTCGTGTATTCTTTTGCTAAGAAAAAGAAATGGAGCTAATTTGTTTAGCTGTATGAAATTTGTATTGTAGGTGAAGAGCACCCAAATCCTGGGGTTCCTTATTTGGGTTTATTCTGCTCAGCATATCTACCAAGAAACCAAGAGGGACAAACATTGTGTGAACTTCTGAGGAGAGCGTTTGACGCACGACTGTTATTTACCATCGGAGCAGACAACACCATCCTGTTTAATGACATTGAACTGAAAACAAGTCGCAGTGGTGGCCCATTTAAGTGAGTCTAAGTCTAAGATGCCTTTGTTTGTTTCTTTATAAACGAATGTCGATTGATGACTCAACTCTGTTTCGTTATTTGTCTGGTTACTTTAGAGAAGCGCAGAAGGAAACAATTGAAAAAACCGATTATTTTTATCTTCGATACTTTTTGCTAGATTTAATCCAATACCTTTTTCCCTCGTTGATTGAATACTCTCAGTACAGCTGCTATGTGTAGTGCCACCATTTAGCACCAATACTTCCTCTTCATAGAGACTAGTCTGAAAATTAAACTGCTAAGTATATGCAACAAATCTGTTCGGTAGATGAAAATCATCTGCTTTACTAATAGTGCATCCAGAGGTCAAAGACGGTCCTTTTTGTTTCCATTTCTTTAGGTGCGGTTATCCCGACTCAGGATATCTTGATCGACTGAAGAATCAGTTGGCATTAAAGGGTGTAAAATAATGCAAGCCACTGAACTGAACAGGCCACTTCACGAAACTCCTCATGAGATCGGAGAGGGTAACTACAATGGAAATAAGAATGGTTCAATCTTAGGAGATCAAAACTGATTTAGCGCCAGTCACGAACTTTAAATACGATCAAGCGCCGGTTCATGATTCAGATACATCGATTGTGACGTGGTTTTTTCTAATGATGCCTTTACACAAAATCAATCGACTCTTCGTATTTCTTACTATTCTGCATGCTAAATAATAGTTCTATAATGCTTCAACGAAAATTTTGCATTTGCTGGAGTAAGGATAAGTTCTTCTGTAAATAATTAAACACGGCTTCATTGCCATTTTTAAAAAAATGGCAAAATAATCAAATAATCGACCAGAGAACATGATCTCTATAGTTGGATTACATGTCATGCAAGGTCAAACCGAGATTCAAAAAGTTGAAGCTAGAATAATATTTGACGATGATTTTACATACATCGGTCATGCATGCAATGTATTTCAGTCCTTGCACTAATATCGTGTAGTTCAATCTGGCTAAGATTGGGGTGGCTCATAAGAGTGAACTGAACTGGTACATTGATTACGAACAGCTACCCATGCCAGAACTTTATTACTATGTATTACCCATATGATATCCTATACAAACGCAAATTAGCCTATTGCAAGTAGAATAAGAAAGATTGTAAGTTTTGAGTTCGGTAAAGAAATAGAGAAAGATGTTTTATCGTCTTGTCACGAGCATGCGACAAAGAAAAACTCCCGAGTCCCCATGGAATCAGACCTTAGACCATGGATTCTGCGCTCTGATGCTCTGCCACTTAGCCACAGAGACTCGATGGTGAACAAGGCCCATTACGAAGTTCAAATATGACACGTGTCCTGTATACTGGTGGGACCAGCACTGGCTTTAGCGTCATGTTTTGTAAGTAGATTAAGAAAGATGGAGGAACTCAGAATTTTTTCTTTGTCACACTCGTGACAAGACGAAAAAAATATCTTTCTCTATTGTAGTCTTACATACTATTTCAATAAATCTAATACATAGCTTTCATGGACTGCTGGAGTCAATCCACTTTGTCTGCTAGCGCTGAAGGTAGTTACTATTCCGTCACAAAATTTTGAGTTTCCTTGCTACTTAGAAAGCCATTCGTATTAGTCATACCCCACGTTCCTCAGTTGCTTAAAGGCCACGCGAAAAGTGGAATTTTTTTATTTGCAGTATGCTCTCATCGAAACTATCAAAAATTATTGCAACTGTTTCACATCTAGTGATCTCCCTTGCCGTAAGTCTGATTAAAATAAACAAGTTATAAAGACGACATCCAACCATAGAAATCAGGAAGCGTGGAAACTGCGGTAAGAAATGCGGGGAAAGTGTTTGGGAGGCTCAGCTGCCCGTAAATAAAATAATTTCTGTGTTAAATTCCGAGGGAAGAAACTATAGATTCTGAGTGGCAAAGGCCTGGATCTTGGCCTCTTTAACAACTGAACGTTATGTTGTCTAGTGTCTGCTCAGATATAGATGACAGATTACATAAAAATGTCCGTAGGACTCGGAAAAAGGTCGCAAACAGGTACGTCTGAGTTTCTTTGAAAATAAAAATTTGGGTTTAACTGTTCATGAGTTCATAGCAGGTACGAACGGACATTTCGCACCCAATGTTTACGTCCCTATTCCAACTTTTGACGATTTTTCCGGTTTTCAAAAAGCTCTTCAGCAAATAACAAATTGCAATCCTTAGTTTGTAAATTGAACAGTGCTTGATCAATCCAGATTGATCGAGAAACGTGTTTGTCGCCAGTTACTGATGTAAAATCCTTTTGAACTCAGAATGCACACTCACATGTTAACCTATATGCGACGTATAGGATTGATTGACGTGCTCTCAACCGTGCAGTGGACACAGAACGTTCTGACTGTGTATTGATAGTGCCAAAGTCTGTTTTTAAAAAAAAGGACATTTTTTCATGCGTAAGCTCTGTGGAGGTTTCTGTAAAGTCATTGGTGAGAACCATGTGCGTCTTATGGTCGGCGGACCCTATTCTGAGGAATGCATTGCAGACAGTATAAGATCTAAGGAGACAATCAGAAACACCTCCCGAGACATGTGGGTATTTCTGCCAAATACGAATAAGTCGACTGAAAATTATACATAAGATTATGTTAGATTGTTTGAAATTGAATCAAACAAAACACTTTCATGTGACTAATAAGTGTAAAGAAATGTAGAAATTCATGCCTATTAACCTGTGATTAATCGTCTGGCGTTCATGGCAATACACAAAAAAAAAAAAATGTTCATCGTGGCCAACCTTTAATTGCAGTTTGAATGATCTGGTTCATATACGAGAGCTCTAAAACTATACAACATAAACATGCTTGGTAACATAACTGCGATAACACTTAAAGTATCCCGCAACACAAATTTTTCGATATTTACACTGATCAAAACTTATCACTCATCCACTCAAATTATTGACGGTGAAAGGTTATTTCTCTGAATCTGGTTCCAAGGTAACGCACTAAACAGCTGTGCAGGCTAGACTAGCGATGTATTTACGTTAATTACAATTATTATATTAATAACTTCAACGCTCCGTCCAAAAGGAAAGTGCATGAAAAAAATCCGCTGCACAGGAAATGCGCCCACGCTCAAGTACGAGCGCGCGTTAGTTTTCAACTCTAATTAAGTTACTTTTACTTAATTTTGGAAAATAGTGTAAACATTTTACAGCTCGTCGATTTTCGCAGCAAGAGGTTCACATACTGATTCCGCTGGATCTAAGAGACCTGTCATCGTTGGGGCATCGGGTATCTATAAAATTGAATTGAACGGAAGAAGAACTGACAGTAAAGGAAACCCACTCAATAACTGTAACCACGATGCGAGAGAAGGCGATACTTTACCCCCACGGTCCAATCGATCTCTGTTTTGAAAAACAGTCAATTTTGTTAAGTATTGCTAAGTGGATACTTGACCATCAGTTGTAAGGTACGCAGATTGTCTTTTATGTGACGAACAGTCCTACGGTACCAAATAACTTAAGTATGGCATTTGAGCTAAGAAGTTCTTTGACTGAGGGGATAATGCAGCTCTTCAAGATGTTATCATTAGGGTGTCACTGGTTCAATCAAGCAAGAAAAGAAAAAGGCAAAAAGTACTGGTTGTAACTTCACGATGAATGTGGAGATATTAAAATAGTTATTGGCAGAACCACACGGAGATTTGGAAACAAAGCATTCACGCTGTTATAATGAAGACACCCCCACAAGACTCATCAAGCACTGAAAAATGCTCTGTGATAGGTTTTTTTTCCGACTTTTATAACGTCCAAAAAAATTTTAACTCTTAACCACTCAAAACTAGCTGTCACTAAATAGAGTGTAATTAGAGCGTAATGTAAAAAAAAATAACTAGGAAATAATGATAAGTGCTGTAAAGAAACTATGGATGAAACGATAATGCTGTTTTTGCTAGGTTAGATTGTATTCAATAATTCTAAAACATATTTCCCTACACCTTAAATGCAATCTGGAACAATATTGCATTTAATGCATAACGAGAAACTTGAAAAGAGTTGACAATGTTTCCACTACAAACGCTCTCCAACAGGACTGAAAAACCAACACCGAATTTTTTCTCACTGCAAAACCTTGAAGACTTGGTCATGTTGAAAGAGCTTAAAAGTACTTCGGAGCCACTTGTAGATCATCGTTTTCAAGACACCTTCACCTTTTAATATTGGCAATAAATACAAACATGAAAGATGTTTCTATTTAAGTGTTACAACAAATTTTCGTTATTAGGCTACCGTTTTGTAAAAAGGCCTTGTAAAGTACTTGTGGAGAGATACACTATTTCCATAAGGGCTTTGGCATATCTCGGCAAGTATTTGCAATAACTTAAATTTCGCTAAAATATATACAGATCATGCACATGTTTGTGTTGACAGCGCAGGAAAATCTCAGATAAAAAGAAAACCAATTGCACGATCAATCCAATGAACTAACGAGATTCTTCACAAATTCAATCACCCTTATGTCACCAATGATACCCATGTGGTCTGCATTTGAAAATGTCTTAGTAACTACTTTCTGTTTCTGTTTACCCACAAAGCTCTGACAAGCCTTTAGGCTGCGAATGTTTACAGTCCCATCTCCATCTCCGAACAATGTCTTAGGAAATGTATCAGGAAACTCATCTGCTCCATAAACAAACTTTTCAGGTGTTGGTACTCCTGTGCCATACAGGCAATACAAAGGTACATTGGGTGGGTCATTGATCCAGATAGGTGGAACCTGTCGACTTATGTTAATGGCATCTGGATAGTGAATGTCATGAAAAAATTTCTCTAAGTTTCCTAATGAGTAGTTTAGATTGGCTGTTTGAACAATGACCTGTGGAGGAAAGACAAGGATGTAAAGAGCAGTAATTTTATGCACAAGAGAGTCACACATAGAATGTTGCAATTTTCATGACACATCAATGTAACACTCGGTGAAAGTGAATGATGACATTTTTTCAGTCTGCAATACAGGCAGAGTTGGTTCTCGAACAAAAAAGAAAAAACAATTTTGAGTATTCTGAACAGGTTCTGAACCCAAAGGTGACCTTCCAACTTGATACTAAAATCAGATGCTGTTAAATAAATGAAACTTGGAACTAAAGGCAGGAAGAAAGGTAACAGTGAAACTCAAGTTAAGAGCACTGTGAATTGCCTGTACTGTGTCACTGAAAAACATCTCTCACTTCCATGAAATTACATTTACAAAGCCCCACCAAACTATCTAGAGCTTCTACATACTCTAAAAGAGTAAATTTTCCTGGACAGTAATGTCTACAACAACTAAACAAACACAAGTTTGGAGGAAAAAGGTGACAAAAGAGATGAATTAATTTACAATCACTGTCTCTGTAATTCTCTATTTGTCCCATTGGATATTTTCAATTTCTCACACACAGTCTTCCTGGGCACCTTGTGAAGGGTTTTCATGGTAAAACGTAGGAGTTTAGTGCCTAGTAACAGTAGAATGTTCTCCTTCCCATTGGCCACTGAACTGTCTGTGCTGTGTGGCTTGCATAAGAGATGCTTTCCCCAATCCGCAAGAATGTTTGCATATATGCAAAAAAGTCAGGAATTTTATCTTTTATCTTGATTTCTGAGTTTAAATTTGACATACATCAATTGCTTTTTTCTTTGAAAATAAGTTACTTAAATGGCCTACTTTCATTAGAGCTTGTTTATTGGAGAAGATGAAAATTTAATGTGCATTCTGTTTGCTTTCCCAGTTTCTCCAAAGTTCTAACTTATGCATATGAATGCATTACACTGAGAGAATAATGGGTTGATAAAAATAGCACAGGCCAATCCAAATTTAGTGAGAGAATTCTACTTGATTTGTGGTTTGTTCCCTTAAGCTCTGATGCCCAGTGGATCACCTGGATGCTCAATTAGACTTTATCACAGTAATGCCTGATAACAAAGATACCAGTTATTTTGTCATTAATGGTAAGCTGCAGTTAAAATAACTTGTACCAACTCTGCACTCACCTCCTCTGCAGACCAAAAATCTTTACTGGGCATCAAAAATGCAGAGCTCTCATAGGTTCGTAAAACTGGCCTAAGGTTCAGTGGCTCAAGAACAACATCTGGAAAACCAAGGTTGGTTCCTGAAGCATATATACGCATTAGCTTGGCTGAACCAGCCCATGCCCCAGCAATAGTTACCCAAGCCCTTATGTGTGTGTCCTTCCATTCCTGAGACATGTTGTAGAGAAAGTGATGAGTATACGGACATCCCAAGCTGTGAGACAGCAAAACAATTTGTGTCTTATTGTTTTTCAAGTATGTGTCTTCTATTAGAGCTTTCAAGTTGGCAAAGTATTCCAGAGCAGAATCTGAAATAAATTGTACAATCAAGAAGTTAATGAGAGGCTGGAAACTTAAAAATTTAGGTGTTCAGGTGAAGATGAAAAATACATTTGTCATATGCTTAGTTCAATAATTTGAATTTGTTAATAATGATAATAAGAAAGGCCACTAGTGTCCTTTAATTCTTGATATGACTGATAAATAATTCTCCCATTCTCCTGCTGCACTCTATCTAGTAGGTACTTAAACATTGGGTAACATACAGGACCTGGTGGTTTAAAGCTGGGTTACAATAACCCAGGGTTAATGTGACATCTGATTTCAGATCTAATAGAGCATTTAGAATTTGATTATTGGATGTTCTAGAAAGAAAATATAGAAAATTATCTCCAAAAGGCTTTTGAACAAATTAATAAAGAAACCTGGATCAACATCTAACCTAAGGTTAGTGGTAAACAACATTTGAACAACTGGGTCTGATGTATTTCACTAAATCAACTTTCCTGTATTCTACAAGTCAAACTCCTGTACATGGCAAAAGTCAGTGGCTAGGAAAAACCACAGCTACCAATTAATGTAATCAATTAAACATTGTTTTGTACTGTTAAAAGAACAGAGCTTGCAATTTTCTCAAGATACAGCAACTGATATACAAGACAGCAATTTACTGTAGAAACTATGATTTGGGCACAGGGGTGTTATTCACTGAAACTGTGTCAGAGAGTATTGGTTCATCAAAGAAGTTAAAATAATTAAGTAACAATCAGAATAAGTTTCAAAGTCAGTGTACTTACTTGGTGCATATCTGAAGTCAAATGGTGCAGCTCGCAGTGATATATTCTCCTCAAATCCAATTTTTTCCAGAGCAGCCACCATTTCAGCAAAATACTCTCCTGGATGATAAAGAGAAGGATCCAAATAGGAAACACCTTTGGTTGTTCCAAAATATGGAACTTGTACCTCAACTCCAGGTGCATTGCCCATCCTTTGAGATGTTTCATTAAAGGCAAGCCTTAAGGAAAATAAAGTCCTCATAACTGTGTGACTCTTGGAAAGTCAGCACAAGTATAGATGCAGGCATAAATTAAAAAACTTTTGGGTCCCTGTCTTGACTTTCTGCTATGTTTTTTCACGTACATAATTAACAAGTAATAACATGATTGCAATTTGGTATATATAAGCACTTATAAATTTTTCAAAGACTACAAACTGCACTTGCCCTAAAGGCTCATGCACTTTTGTTGTCTTTGAAAAATTTGCTTGTGCTTAAAAACACCAAATTGCACTCAAAAATCATGTTGACTACACATTGCACTTGCCCTATAGGCTCATGCAGTTTTGTTGTCTTTGAAAAATTTGCTTGTGCTTATAAACACCACACTGCACTTGAATCATATTGTTACCTAAAAGGAGCACTTCTGTTGCCTGTATAAGGCTAGAACAGCTTAAAGTTTCATTTATTATCTTTTTACAGTTAAAGATAAATATTCTATATTTTCAATAGATCCATTGCTGTAGTGTTATTCTTACCACCCATAACAACCTGATTGTTTATTACTTGCACCATGGTAAGTGGGGTCTAACAGTGAATTGCCACTGTTAAATAACTAAATCTGGATCAAGCATATCATTGGTAGTAGGTTGAAAATAGCAAGAGTTTGATGAAAGCTTAGTACAGGTTTCATTGTGTAACTTTGACAGATGATCAAGAGTTGTTGTTGTACCTACAACTAAATCTAAATAGTCAACCTATCAGAAGTTTGGGACAAAAAAAACTGAGTGCCTTTAATTAAGGAATAAAACTTTTTGGATTCCATGCTCTTATACTATACCATTAAGAGAAGGGAACTCCATGGTGAGCTAGGCAACCACCAGGTACACATGAAATGTGTGTTACAAACAGTGGGGATCATCTATGTCACAAGTGTCATATGAATAAATAGCATTACAAAAGTGGTACATTTTGAACTCAGCATTGGATTAAAAAATTTATCTTGGTTTTTCATGACAGATGTTGAAATATATTTGGTGAAATCTCACATGTTAGCCCAGCACGTGAAAGAAGTGAATAAAGCTTACCTTATGTTGTCTGCCCAACATCCAATAGCTCCTGGCAACATTGACTCTATGCTAAGCCACAAGTCAAACCAGGAACTTGAAGTTTTTTCACACCACAAGTGTGGTACTGTTGACTTGTTGATACGGGCCTGGAGTTGACTACCTCCATCTCCTGGAACTGCATAATAAACAAGAAGTCTAGGATGATTATACTTGTAAAACCAAGATGCCGTTAGCAAGTGCTAGCTCCTCACCTCATGAGAAATCATCAATAGTCATTGGTGACTGATGAAAAAATACACTTGAATGAAATTGTTGGAGTGGGTTGTTCAATTCAAGGTTTCCTTTGCAACAGATAGCATGGCCAGAAAAGAATTATACAGCAATATGTAAGTAAGTAAATTAAAAGTCAATTCATGATCAATTCAATGTGATTGACATACAGATGTGCAGTGCAGACTGGTATGATTTTAGGAAAATTTAATAGTTATAAAACCAATAAACAGGTGCGATGTAAACACACTACGTGTGAGACCAAACCAACAAAATTCGATAATTTTACAAAACAAGATGATGGTGATAATGCTGTTCACACTTCACCTGTTACAATTTCTACAGCATACAATGGCAAAATAGAAAATTATATCCAAATGTATTGTAAAACACACGAGAATGTTATTCACAAAGCAATTATGAATTACTAGGGAACACTTTTGAATAACTCCATATTAGACTCAAGTCCCCAGTGTAATATATGAGTTTCGCTATGAAGAATGATGCATGTTATGCGAAAATCTTCAGAAATCTTACCAAGAAAGGCATCCTTACCAACAAATCGCGCAATAGACGAAGACTCGCAAGGCAAAAATAAACAACACTGTTAATCGATCTTCCTGCGGTGAAAGTGACATTTCTGTGAGGCCTATTCGCTTACTTGTAGATTGTCTGCATAATTTGTAAATACTGCTTACGCAACATCTTTAATGAATTCCAGTTTCACCAGATTTCAAGCTAAGCAATCAGATTTTACTCATTACCCTACTCGCTATTTCCGTTGCCGAAATATAAAGCACTTAGACTGTTAGTTATAAATTATATGGGAGTTATTGAGGAAATGATCTTGGATCGCGAGCAAAGAAACACACGGCGAGTCGCGAGTACAGTAATTTATCAGAGTCGATTACCGCCTTCAAAGAGAGCATCGTTGTAAATAAATAAGACCACCCACAAAGTTGATTAGTACACTACTTACCAATAACTATTGGTACCTTTGCTTCAATCAAGGCAAAATCTCCGAGAAGGAAAACTAACACCGTAAAGAACAACATCGCTTTGGCCAACGGCCAGCACGGGCTCTCGCCGTAAACTCTCTGAATAATTTGAGTCTAGGGTACAAAGAGCCAGCGGCTAAATCAATTGACACTCCTCCGCATACTCCCCCCTTGCCCATTTTAGCTCCTTTTCAAAAGGTCCCATGATGCGCCCTTCTTTCATCGAAGCGACTAAAATACTAGTAAATTGAGTAAGTGAGTTATCAGCAAAAAGGGAATCTAATAATAATTAACGAAAGGTGAACTGCACATACTCTTGTGCCGGAAGGGAGAAGGAATCAGGAAAAAGCTGACATTTTAGAGAAGGAATTTTAGATTGATGGCTGGAGCGGCTAATTTATTTAATTTAATTGTACAATTTCTTTTTCAGGAGTTAGCTGAGAGAGAGGATATTTTAAAGTTTTGAAAAAGTGTGTCAGAAAAAAATCCCTTCCTGGGTAACCTATGAGATAGGAAGCACCAAGTTATCACGTGACCTCCACGCCTGCGTACTAACCGTTAGTAGAGACTTAGCTATTTCTTTGTCCTTTGCCTTTCGTTGGAGAACGACACTTAGAAAATTTTCGTTCAATTTTTTAGCCGGAATGAACGGGGAAGCCATTCAACACACCGCTCCATTACAAAAAGTAAGAATGATTCTTGAAAGACTTTGATTTTGATTTATTTTGAGATTATTCCTCTGTTGTCTGACGATTTTTCACCGCACTTCGTAAGTAGCTTTGTGTCTAAAGCAATATTTCTTCAATGCAGCCGATGAGAGAAGAAGTGGCATCTGGAGATGATGACCCAGTTCTGGTAAGGGCAGTTTCACTAATCTTTCGGAAATCATACACGGGCTAACAAAATGGATTGCTTGAGAAATCTAAACAAGTTTATGTTTCACATTTCGTGATGAAGTTTTTGTTTTCGTGATTTTACCCGGTTTAGGCCCAGGCGAAACTAAAGCCGGTCGGGAGCGAAGGTAAGATTGACCGCACATCTATTCGTGTAATTTCACGTTTATTTCTTTCGTAAACTACGGTACTTTACTGTGATTTATTGTCTCTCCCGTTTCCTCTTAATGTATGGTGTAATTTTTGGCTCTGTTATGGTAACCAAAGCCAATTTTTAACCGTTTCTCTCCTGTGATATATCGTTTCGCAAACGGAGTTGATTTTTCTTTAACACCGAAGCACATGTAGATACAAATTTGCCTAATCTTAAGCTATTGTTGATAGATCGTAGTTGGGTAGATGAATCATTCATTCCTTTCCAAATGTCGGGGAAGTTCCGTCTGCCGTCGACAATTGAGCTTAGAGTTTCAAACTAGGGAACTGCAAAGTGAAATGATAATCTGGTCCAAAAACACAGTGCTTGCATTATTTTTACGAAGAGCTTTAGGATCGCCGTTGTCGTCGATTTCGTGTCCATTATGCTTTGCCTATCGATCGAGAATATTTGCGGCGTTCTATAACACCTTGAACGCTTTTCCCTAGAGTTGTTATTTTTTTTTTAACAGCGTGCTTATTTTACACCCTTGTCAATTCGTCCTTCGGGTAATTATTTGGAGTAGTTAGCTTTCCGAAAGTTTTATCCCTTCGAGAAAGTGAGCAGATTCGCCTTCTCCGATCCTACTTGCACCACGAGTAATAAAAAAGATTAAAAGAAATGCTTATTTCTCTAACTTTTGCAGGCCCCGATAGGAAAAAGATCAAGTTTGGATCGACCCAGGTACGAATCATCTCTTCATGGATACAGACTCACCGAAAAATTTTCTTGTTTTCTCTCATGGATCCGCACTCGAAGTCTTCGATGCCGGCGTATTGTATTCGATTCATTCCTTGCGTTGTTTGCGTTCAATTTTTACAACGAAAAAAATTGTCATTTATATTAACGAGTATTCTGTTTTCCTCTATGCTTGCAACATTTTAATCATGGGCTTCGCTGATTTCCTGTCGTCTAGAATGATGGAAGGTAAGATCCACAAAATGTTCACCCTTTCCGACATTTTGTTTCCTTTGAAGTTATCGGGTAGAATCTTGGTTCTTGTAGGGGAGGGGTAGGGCGGGTTGTACTTTTGAGAGAAAATTCTCGCTGAAACATCTTACTGGTGAAGAGACGTTGATTCGTCAAATCTACTTTTTTTTTTTTTGTCTTTTTTTTTTTTTTTTTTAATTGAGTTTTTTTAGTTCTTTTTTTGTGTAATTGACTGATGCAGTGGGGTAAGAAGCATTGGTTATTAAATTATTGTTTTATTTTAAGAGCCTCTCCTCCTTCTTTTTTCATCTTGAGAGGAGAATCTTGATGTGCTGTTACTCTGCTGTTTCTGATTTTTTTCATAAAAAGCCACATGGAATGTGTATTGTTAGTACCACACTCATTCAGACCTTAGGGTAGACTTGTTTCTAGATAACATAACACATCCTAAAGAAGCTCTTAACATTTAAATTCTACTTAACAGATTATAGTGGGTGTGACAATAGGGATTAACATTACCTTGATAATATTGGTGATTAAAGACTGCCGTCAGGTTTGAACAATAAGAACATGATCCTATATGATCCTATAGAAAGGCTACTCTGCCCCTTTCATTTCCTGTTTTTCTTATCCTAACAAAACTTCTGTTTCTCATGCATTACTTTCCTACATTCTTTTATGTTAAGGTTCTTGCACAGTCCACCCAAGCAAGGCATGCCAAATGCTTCTAGAGATTTGTCTCCTTATAGATCTCATGTCAACTCTGCTATGAAGAAGGAACCACATCAAACTCCTATAAAGCAATCACCCTTAAACAGAAGTCAGAATGTGGAAAATGTTGCTCTTAAAAAGGAACCCGTCACACCAGTGAGTTTTACTTCATGATCAATCAGTTTTGCTTGAATATCAAGTTTTGTTGCAAATTGTGAAATATAAGAATATTTCCCCTACCAAATTGTTGAGTGGTTCTTTGGATGCTACATTTCATCTCATTCTTATCATGAAGATGTGGAACTGCTCAGGAGTATAATTAGTAAAAAGTCATGAGAGATGGTAGATTTCAGCTCTGTGTTTGAATGTTAAGAAAAAGAAAAATCCCAAGTACTCCACAAGGATTATCTTTTTTGTGATGCTTAGGTTTCATTGCAATTTTTACGGTAAGTTGTTAACAATTTGATATCATTGGGGTTGTAAATATTTTTATTTTTTTCGTTAAAGATAAAACAAGTGCAGTCTGCATTAGGTCAAGTAGAAAGTGATGATGATGATGATGACGTACCATTGGTGAGTTTATTCTCTTCTGTTTAAGAAGTAATTTCTCCTTACAAATATTGATGCAATGTCAAGTAGACAAGTGAGGAGGAGAAATAAGCAAACTCAGTCAGTGGATATGATTTGATGTAAAACCAAATTCTCAAGGAAACATCACAGGAAATACAAGATGATTTGGTTTTATCAGCTGAGTTAATGTTTATTACACCCATTTTGAAATCACTGGTGGCCCCTGTAATCTGATTGGCTCTAATTGGTGCGATTTATTCACAAATCACATCATTTTTTGCTTTAAATTGCACCTTTTTTGCGGCCAATGAGGAGGCTACACTTAAAACAAATAACCAATCAGATTTCAAGACTTGTTTAAAGTAACCAATCAAATTGCAGGAAAATGAAAGACAGAGTATCATGTGGCAAATTTTGCAACTTTTGTTTCCAAAACTCTTATTTCCCCCTCCCCCCCATGAATTTAATTTCAAACCAGCTTAATACTGCATCAGTAAAATATTTGAACTGACCAAGTCCTGTAATTGGGCAATTTCAAAATGGATGCAATAAAGTGGTAATTGAACCTCATGTTGTGCAATTTTGGTCTGAAATCATACTTGTGATTTCAAATCAGGCATATGATTTCAGCCCAAATTGCACTCCACTTAATTCAGTTACCATGATTATAAATTGGGTACCCTAGAAAAAGTTCTTGAGCCAACATTTTGACTGTTTGTAGTCAGAGGGAATTGCAATCAGGAGGACCACTATAGTTTAGATCTTTGGAGTACAAGGAATACTGTAAACTGGGCTCTTTAAATATCTAAAGAAACAAACCTTTCAGCATCTCAGCCAGTGGTTGTTCACTTGCTGATATCATTTATGATAATTTCTTATTCTCCATTAGCCTGTAAGACAGAATTCTTCTGCTACTGTCTGAAAATTTTAGAAACCAGTTCTTATAAGATTTGATTTATCTACAGACTCTCTAGGTACCCTCATTATATAGATTGCACTTACTGCAATAGGATTAATTAATATAAATTCAATTATTAATCACTTTGATGAGGTTTATTTGTGAAGTTATTATGTTTCCTTGTTTCTGTCGTTTAGATTGCAAGAGCCCAGAACAAGTAAGTTCTTATATTTTGTAGTTTTTGTATTTACATTATTTAAACCATAATGCAGGTATATATTTTTTAGCTTTTAATCACCCTCAAAGAAAAAAAACAATCATGCCATAGTTTTCATTGCCATTAAAAGGAAAAACTTTGAATGATTATATCTATCCTTACCCATTTTTTGCAGACCTTCAGCAGCAAATGCAAAAGCTTCATCTGCAAAACCTGTGAAATCTGCATTAAACAGTGTTGTGGCAGAGAAGAGCAAAGTTGTCAAACCTAAAAAAAGTGAAAAGATGAAAGATGGGAAGTCATTGAAAAACGATAAGAAAGTAGACAAAAAAGTGGATGGGGTGAAAAAGAATGATGTGAAGAAAGTAAAGAAAGTAGATGGTGAAAAAGTTGGAAAGAAACAAGTTGATAATGATTACGAGGAGCCTTTGGTGAGACTGATGTTCACATGTTAAAATTTTTGTTTGCTCATTAAGCCTCTAATCTCCTGAGAGTAACTAGCATCAATTTTTCCTTCAAATGTCACTCCCTAATCAAATATTAAGGTCACAAAGATATAGGAAATGATCACCATTGAAAGCAGCTCTTGAATGTTAAACAAATTCTCCTTGTCAGCCCCCTAGGAAATGTATAGAGAACAGTATGGAGAATTTGCATATTGATATCAGGTTGTAGAGGGTTAAGGGAAGTCTTTAATTACAGTTTTTAGCACTGTAGAGGTTTTATTCAGCTTTTTGCATGTAGGTTAAGATGTGTAATGTAGTCCACCAAAGTATAGGTAATAGGCACTTGTAGCAAATTAGCTTTTTGTTTCCTATGTCAGTTGTATGTACACAGATATATACAGTTTATACAGGTTGTGTATTTTACCTCATGGATACCATCCTCGGTGCTGAATTGTTAATATTTATGGTCATGTTAATGATAAGTACAAGTTTGAGAAGAATCCATTGCCAGGGTCTGTCAACACTGATGTAACACTCTTCTGAATCATAACACAAGTCAATGTTCTTTACATTGCTATTCAAAAGAAAAAAGGAAGCTTTCATTAGACATTGTAGCTTAAAAGTTGTGCTCTCTCTGATTAAAGCACTGTATCATGCAGAGTACAGTTTTAAATTTGAGTTTAGTAAAAAGTGACAATTTTTTAATTATTTTTTCTTCTTTTTTTTCTTTTCATGGTTTCATTGTGGTTATCTGATCCAGCCTGCAAAGTGAGTAGATGAAAGACTGTTAAGCTGAGTTTACCTTTGTGACCCCCGAAGGCTACTGCTTGAAAAAGCTCTGCTTCTCTCAGTAGTGGTTTTTGATGCCCCTCTGAAAGTTCCTCCTATTTAAAATTGATTTTTGGCAATTTGAAGGAAACTAGTGGAAGTGCAAACTAAAGTAACCCTTGTGCCAAAGATAAGATCCAAAGACAAACTCAGCCCATTTGGGTGTGAGAGTAGAACCCACCCCAGTGTAGTGGGCAGCTAGGTCTATGATACTAGTAAATAAAGGGGTAAGTTTCTAAAGAAACTGTGGTGCTGCATTGGTGGGAGAGTATAGCAGGTAAGTTAGTGTTAACAACTGGGTTGAAAAGGTAAACAATCGTCAATTGTTAGCGTTAGCCCTTCGTCAATTGCTCGTCGGAGCAATTGACGAAGGGCTAACGCTCAAAACGTCAGCTTTTTTACCCTTTACGGTGGCTAATTTACCTTTTCAACCCAGTTGTTAACACTAAATTACCTGCTATGATACTAGTACATTGGTTCTTCTTCCCTGTCTGAAAAACTGTCAAAAAAACTATAGTTTGGTGATGAGTTCATGTGTAAAAACAACCAGTTAACCCTTTAACTCCCAAGACCTGATTGTTAATTCTCCCTTCTAACTCCTAAAAATTTCCTTGTAACGTAGTTGTGATAATTTGGTACGAGATCAAGATCATAACTTCTACCTGATAAGTTTAAGTATCCTCATGGCCTGTTTGTTAGATATTATATGGATATTAATGGGAGAAAGTACATGTTAATCACTTTTGGGAGTTAAATGGTTTAAATCACTTGTAGTGTATGTTGGTTATCTTATTGACTGTCATATATGTGGTAAGCTGATGTCCTGTCACAAACATTCTGTAACTGTTAAAGAATAATTGTCTAATAATTCCTAGATTAAGTACCCCTAAAGACAAGAAACCTGCAAAGTCTTCTGTATCATCTGCTACAAAGCCAAAGGACTCTTCCTCTGTAAGTTCTTCTTGGTAATTCTTTTGCTCATAGTGTAATAAAACATGATTTACAGTTCAATGTATTTTGGCATGTTGAGATGAGGTTGCTCTGCATGCCATGTAACCATGATAAGTGTCTGTAGCAAACTGTTTCATGTGTTTTTCTTCCTAAACCAGTTACCATAACTCATGTTTTTGGTCAGAATTTTGTCCTGGCAACAAAGTGTATAAATTTAAACCTCTTTGAATTTTTGTGACTTATTTGTTTTCCATCTACAAAATGGCAAACAATTTGCCATTTTGTAGATGGAAAACTGTCACTTCATTATATCCCTGTGACTTTTTTCTTAATGTCATGATCATAACATGTGCAAGTTAGTGTAAATCTAGTCTTTGG